AACTTGGCCTGAGGTACCATGGTTATGCCCAAAGCCAAAATTGGCCATGCTGAACATACCTACCCAAATTAAACCCCGGGGAAAAGTATCTAAATGGGGAGTCACCAAAAGCAGTCATTAGTTTGAAAGCTCCCCCAACTCCAAATATAGCACCAATTTAGATACTTGCTACATCTTCGGCAAGATACATTTTTAAGAAGAATTTACTCATAGGCAGATATTTAAAGGGATATTCCTTGCCAAACCATCTCTCTCCTCATATAGTAGCTATAACCATATGTATACTTGCCATGTTTAGCAAAGCAGTGAAAATGTTTAGATATGGTCAAAATTGAACACTTAGAAATGTAGTACTCAATTCCACTAGGCTGCCATCTTTTAAGATTCCACTCAGGAAGTGATGTCATCGACTCTCAACTTTACATATAGCATTAGGGAAGGAGCTATTTAGATTTACAAAAACAGCTGAATATTCTTTTTCAATTTGTATCTGATTTAATTCTTCTGAAATTCTCTTCTTTTATTCTAAGTTGACAAGCTCTGAAAATGTTTTTGCACAGAAATTAAGGATCACTTGTCTAGAAGTAATTTTGTGCTACTTTCCTACACTGTTATGGGCAAGCTTATATAAGTTGAGAGTTGATGACATCACTTCCTGCAAGAAATCTTGAAAGATTGCAGCTCACTGGAAATGAGCACTACATTTTTAAATGATCAACATTGACCATATTAAAACATTTTCCCATGTTTTGCTGAATATGGAAAGTATATTTATTGATTATAGCTACCATATCAGGAGAAAATGGTCTGGCGAGGAATGTCCCTTTAAGTGGAGGTCAATATATTTGAATACCTGTCTTTTGGTAAAGATGACAAACATCAATTTTCATTTTTTAGTATTCAAGCATACATATTGTTCAAACTGAACAGGATAAAAGATTTCAAAACAAATTCAATGAATATTTGCTTTATATACAACTCATTAAATATCAGAGGTGTCACAGGTCAGATATTCTTCAGGTCGGGTCAGAAAAAAGTGTGCGGGTCGGGTAATTTTGGGTCGGGTCAAAACGAAACAGAAAAATGAATTTTAAGTACAAGCAATTGAAACTGCTGGTTGAATACACAGCACATGTAAAGACTGTTTGAGCCTACATTACTGCATACAATGCTTTGATAAAGGAAAATGATAGAAACTTAGCATTAAATCGTTAGAGAAGAACTAACTGTAAATTATTTTCTGTTCGCCATTTATGGGGGAAATGGTCCTTATCGCATGGTCCTAATTACCCCACGATTGTCCTAAATAGCTAAAATATGCACCCACCATCTTTTAAACCAGTGTTACGAAAAACAGTTCAACACCATTACTCCCAATCTTCATGATTTATTCATATACATGTATTTAGAAATATCTCTTCATTTTTAAGAATTGTTTACTTCCGCTATTGTCATAAATGCAATTACGCAAGAAGTGAAATTGTCTGACAATGTTTGACCCCCCAAATTAAAGACAGAAAAGTAAGTGTACAGTTTGGAACATAAATAAATGACAGGTGTATTATGAAGCTGAATTGAGGATTTCCCATGTTAAAAATAAGAGAATTTTCAAGAGGCCATATATAAATGGATGAGATTATACAAAATGTAAAATATACAAATTTTAAGGGATATGTATCTAGACAATATTGGAAATTATGGGCTTTCATACGACCATGATTAAGAAATAGTGATCGAAAATCGACCTGTCATTTATTTTTGTTAATGGTATAATGTATATTTCGTTGATATTTTACACGAAAACTGAAAGAAAAATGATTAGCATATGTATGTATCTGTCATAAACAGAGAAATGAATACAGTATCGTGAAATGACATCTGAAACGACTGTGCACTGTGCAGTAATTAGGACCACCGCACATGCGAGTCTAAGGGGTCTTAAAGTGTTAGTGTTCGGAGATTGAGAAATGTCAAACACTACTTAAATTTTAAAAGAAAGGTTGATTTTTCGTCTCATCTTCTCAAAGTAAGTTGAAGTTATCATATTTGAATTTGTCAGTAATTTTCGAGAGTACCCGTGCAGTGATAGGACCATTTCGGATTTTCCCCTACATGTATGTATACAAGAAATAAGCCAACTAGAATTTTGAAATTTTTGCCAGGAATATAGAGCATTTAACAATAATTTAAATCAAAGACTAAGAAATGGGTACCACGGGAGAGAATGGAGAGGTTAAGCTTTGCATATATAATCGAAACTGAACCTGTACGTATCACTCGACCATATACAAATTCATGTAGCCTTCTCATATAAATAGCCGTTCAAATCCAATGTTTGTATAGACTACACCATAGCGTGTAATGATTCTATAGTATGTCATTGATACGGTTTTATAGCTGGTTTTCTAATACATATTTTAAACGAGCTCGTTTCGTAAGATTTTTGGCACTAAATCATGCATGACATACATCATCGTGTTCAACCATTGTAAATTCCAAATATTTCATGTCCACATTTTGTTTGCCGGAACTACTTCTAGACTTCCTGATTAATCCTCATGCAAGTTTTGTGACTACACCAAGTGGCATGGATTATCACTGTTTTATCTATTACAGTGTAATTATCATGATAGATACATGATAGAGGCTTTATGAATGATAAACAATGGAAACATGAATGAAGATAACTCTGGACTAAAAAATAGTTCCAGGAAACAAAATGGTGGACATGAAATATTTAGAATTCACAATGGTTTGAGCTTTATTATACTCTAACAATGCAAGAAGTACACATTTTCGTGCTCCTTCGTTGTTCCTTGGTAAGGTAAGATGATTTGTGGAAATTTTAGACTCTTGCAAATGTGTGACTGTTGCAAGGCTACTCCTTGAAACTTTCAAAAATTAGCCTCACTTCGCACACTCTTCATGCTAGCTTTGGGGATCCATGCACCTCCAATTCATAGTTTGGAAAAATGCGTTTATGTGTGATGTTAACTTTGACATGTTTCATTAGTCAAGATACACAATTCATATACAAGGTAAACAGATTTTAAAAACATGTGTCTTTATCAAAAAAATATGGCAGTCATTTTTTGTACTTTTTATTTACGTAAAGGCTAGAGTACCGACAATTGTCGGTACTCTAGACTCTGATGTGGTGGCACGCTAGAGGACCGACAAATAAATTGTCGGTACGGGAGATATGCTGTGTTTACACGCTAGAGGACCGACAAATATTAGTTTTCGAATTTTCTGGCGCATGCGCAATGCGCGGGGGGATATTTCAGATATCATACGGATATTTTGGGAACAAGTGCAAAACCCGGGGAGGGCATTAGCCCCGGTTACCCGGGGATTACCAAACCCAGTCAAAAAATGGTAGCCCGGGAACAGGGAATGGTAGTAAACGTTGAAAGGCCCAATTAGGAGCTATTAATGCAGAGTAAACGGCTATATATATTCTAAACAGACAGGATATTTCTCCTGAGCCGATCAGGCGTAGAAAGAGGCGTTTGCTACCCATTAGATTAAAGAAAATAGCTAGAATGTTTTTATTTGAAGCTTATGGTATGAGGTTCAATATCCATCCGCCAAAAGGTATAACCCCTATATAGTCCATTTAAAAACCTGTGGTATCGTTCTAAATAACCCATAGTTGGCTTCTCTTTCTAGGGTACCTAGTATGCCACTATTTGGTGTCAAAATAAAGAGGAGTTCAACTTTCATTTGAATTACGAAAATAGCGATGTAGGTCAAAATAGTTCCGAACGTGAGCATGTTTACTACGCGTTTGCCCGTCATATCAGAATTGAGGAAGTGGTAGCAAACGCGAGTTACAATAAACGGACGCTGATATCTCAAAAAGTAACCTGACTCCCTTTAATTTGATGTAGGTCAATCGAACCCCTATATGGACAGGTGCGTTTTGATAAATAACACTATGGGGGGTAAGCGTTTCATAGTTGGTCACGAACGCCATATGTGCAAAGTATTGTTATGAATTTTCGAATTTGGTGTTGGATTACGGTACTCAAATCTTATAGCACAATTTTTGATGGAAGTTGCATTTGGCTCCCTTAGTTAATGGCCACGATTCCATCTCGCATGAGAGAGCTACCAAACGCAAAGTAAACAGTGATATATTCCAAATGAGATATTTCTCCTGTGCCATGGCGTAGTAAGGGTAGAGAGCGACGGGGGCGAAAGCATCCCCTCCCCTAACTGTATATATCGACCCATTAGAGAGAACAAGAAAAGAGCTTTAAAATGTTTTTTAATTCAAGCTTGTAGGACAATTTTGATGGAAGTTGAATCAATTTTTGTCGAAACAAATTATGGCTCACTACAAGTTAATGCCTGTACGATTCCATACTGCAAAAGGAGCACTATGCCCCCCCTCAAAAGAAAAAAGTAAGTATTGCCGGGATTCGAACTCGGGACCGAGTGTGTTTGAGTCGTGCTCGCTAACCACTAGGCTACCAGTGATGTGGTTATCACCAAAAGTAAAAGTATTGCATTTATTTATGAAATTGTCGGCTCTCTATCAAAAACACGTAGCAGCCACTTGCGTACCGACAATTGTCGGTTCTCTATCTGGCACTACTTGTTGACGATAGAGTGCCGACAATTGTCGGTACCCCAGCAAATACCCCTGGACAGTCTCCAGTACCGACAATTGTCGGTCCTGGAGCCACTCCGTTTTATTTAATATAGCGTCGCCTTAAAATTTGTATATCTTACATTTTGTATAATCTCATCCACTGATTTATGGCCTCTTGTAAATTCTCTTATTTTTAACATGGGAAATCCTCACTTCAGCAAATCCACCTGTCATTTATTTATGTCCCCAACTGTATGTTCATGATTCAATTCTATATAGGATATCTGGAAAGGAAATGCCTAAAGAAAGGTAAATCAAGGGAGTTATGGTGGGGATATGATAATGTTTACATTTGACATCAATTCATTACATCAAGGCTTACAAAAATTAAACATATTACCTGTGAATGCTCTCGAACTCCCACAAAAAATAGCAAAATCACCAAAGATTTTCATAGATATTTTTTTCCAGAGCAACGTGCACTTCCGGTTCAGACTACTTGTGTTCATATATGATTTCATTGTTTTGTTGGAATAAATATTGTGTCCTGCGATATTGACAAATATAATTACATAGAGAGCCTCTGTCCTAATTAAGTTTCAGTTAAATGTATTTTAAACAGATTTTAGAGCATTCTCTGTTGACGTAAATTTTGCCCATCCAAAAATGAGATTCGACTTCCGGAAACAGAATTTTTATTTTTTCTTAAATTTGTTTTGATTTTTCTTTTCTACAGTATGTCTCAAGTCACATTCTACCCAAATGTAGATTCCTTATAGATATATAAAACTATAGTCGTTACTCGGAACAAATGGCTGGCAGATTGGACGTTGTGAAAGCTGGGACTGTTCAGGTTAATTTTGTGTGTCAAAAATGTTGTCAGCCTCTAAAATTGGACCAGTCATTCAAAAGTTTAGATGCAACACTCATCACAGAACTGTCTGGTAAGCTTAGTCCTTTTTTCTTCACTACTGCTATATATGTTTATCACGTCTCAATTTTTATGTTTCTGTTTTCGTGTGAGTTGATGACAAGTCTAGACATCTTTTAGTTAGGTGCTTGGGTACGGGTACAGTTACCAGAAATTTACACCGAATTGAGCACAGATTTATGTTCTTTAAATTATACAGCACAATTTATTTTACAGCTCCCCTAACCAGCAGTAATACTTCTGATGGCACATTGCTGGACCTAATAACAGCCTCTCCGGTCGTAAGTTAATGAATATTGTCCAGTATCTGTATGACTATGTTTAAAGGAAATATAAGGGATAGGGACAAGTTGAAAGGGATTTTACTTCCTTAAAAACTGTGATTCTATTATATATGCAGACAATATTCAGCACAGTTATAATATTTATTTTGTAAAAGTTGCATTGTTCTTAATTCAAGGTCTTTTATTTAATTTCAATTATTCCATGATTACTTTGTTCAGTATTTATTTAGTAAACAATAATTGAAATATTTATTGATTTAGAAAACTATATAAACATTGATAATACATGACAAATATTAACACCAGATGGCATATGTAAGTAACAATAGTTAAAGTATATATTTTACTTATTCAAAGGCCATCAGAAATCTTTGATTTTTGTTGTATTAAGACTGTACTCATATCCTACAGGGTGTATCGGGTGGTAGTGATGCTCAAGCAAGCAAGAAGTACATCCCTCCAATGAGGCTTGTGTCGCAGTCTGACAGTAACAATGACTTCACACTCCTGGGTGACTCACAAGCAGGGAACATGGAGAACCTAAGCCACCAGTTGAAAGTCACCAGTAACTTGTTTGACATCATGTCTGGCCACTCTGAAGTTGACCATCCTCTTTGTGAGGTATGATATTTTAGACAGCTCATTTTATGCAATAGTATGAAATGTGTAAATACATGTTTCATAATGTTATAGTCTCAAACTTTTTTGTGGCCGTGGATGGTCTTCAGCGGTTGGTGTTCAGTGTTTTGCGACAGCTGGTGACATATTTTATGATTGTAATCTTTGTATTAAAATTCTTTTTGGTCTGCTGTATAGCTTAGTTATCTTGTCATAGTCGTCGTTTTATAATAGGATTTTAGGGGATCTATAAGTTACCCCCATGTCATGATTGGCATTCTGGCCTGACCAAAATTACTTCTGGCTTCTATTTATATATCTATATTAGGCAAGTCCTCTATTTGGATTTTCTCTCAAGATTCAGACCAAAATTGGTCAAAATATGCCTATTTTTCTCATTTTTAATTGGGTGCAAATGGATTCTCAGGTGGGTGCAAGCCTTTTATCAAAATCTCAGGTGGGTGCTGTGCCCACTTGCTTTAATGTTAGGGAGATCACTGTATTGTATTTCATTTCAGGAGTGTACAGACTCTCTCCTTGACCAGTTAGATCAACAGCTGAAGGTCACAGAGGATGAATGTAAAGCTTACAGGTCAGGTGATGTTTTGTATGACAAATTACTTTTATGAGTTACTTACTCCTAATGCAAGTCTCCAAGTTTGTGTGACTTGAAATGGACTCTTAAATGTTGAAATATCCTCTAAAGTAAGGTGAACTCATTTAATTATTTACATCCAGACCCAAGTACCATTCAATAACTGCTTAATAAAAAAATCATTTGAAATTTTCTTTTTACTAACCATAATTTTAAATTGCAGAGATTTTCTTGAAGAGCTTGGCACTGGAGGTGAGAAAGTGGATGAGGAGGCTCTAGACAAGGACCTTGACCAGGTGAGGCATCATGGGATACACATTGTTGAATTCTGGGTATTTCTTGTTCCCACCAAAAACTGATGCTTCAAGTCCTTGATCATATAAATGACCATTGGTCATAATTAAAAAAACACAGAGATCACATTCTTTTATGATAGCTACAGTTTTGCTGAAGTGAAGGTGCAGACTTTTCAGACTTATACTATTTAAAAAGAATATTGGGAATAAATTCCAAAGTGCCCCTCTCTTGTAAATTTAAGCATCATTGAACATTGTACAAAATATTGGTAATAAATTTTAGCTAAGGGCTGAGGCTAAAGCTCTAGGACAACAACTTGAGAGTATAGAAGTGGAGAATTCACATATACAAGAGGAACTAAAAAAAGAAAAGAAAGAAGCCCAAAGGTAAGGCCTAACACAGTGGTAAAAAGGTCTCAAACAATTTTTAAAGTCATGAAAAATTATATTTGGATGGTTAAACAATATGTTCAAACTTTACACGGGGCCTTTAATACAGTAGTTTGCTCATCCAGGCATCACCTGTCATTTGTGTTTTTATCGCACCCTCAGGTGCTATATTGCAATCAGTTTGCCGGGTGGTTGGGCGGGCTGGCGGGTGTCCCAAATAATCTTGTTTTATTTTGTACATATTTAGTCTTGCATCAAGTCTCTAGACCCCCATCTGCTTACCTTCAGAGGTGAGCTGTGCAGGTGATGAGCAGTCACTTCTCACTAGGGTTGAAACAAGACTAGTTTTATACCTGAAATTAAAAAATCTTCAATACAATATATTTAATGGAACATTTTAGATTAGACAAAGAAGAAGAAAAATATTATAAAGAATACAACGAATATAAACGACAGTTACTGGAGTATGAAGATGCACAAAAAAGGTAGGGATTGATTTTAGTTTTGGTTGATAATTATGTGTAGAATAATTTCATTCTGAATATTCTGTTTTAATTACTGGTCAGTATCAAGCGAAGGTGACAATTACTGTCCCCCATCTAAGATGTGAAGGTTACCGCCATCACCTTCACTTGATTCTGACCAGTGATTAATGGTCAGTTGTCTTGAAAATCTGTTGTAAAGGCAAGTGAACATATGTGCATTTCTCATGCATGAAATTTACTTCCAGTGTTGATAACCAACTGCGCTATGCTGAGGCTCAACTTGACAAGTTAAAGAAGACAAATGTGTTTAACGCTACATTCCATATATGGCATAGTGGCCACTTTGGTACGATAAACAACTTCAGACTAGGCAGGCTTCCTAGTGTACCAGTAAGTAATGCAACATTCCATATATGGCATAGTGGCCACTTTGGTACTATAAACAACTTCAGACTAGGCAGGCTTCCTAGTGTACCAGTAAGTAATGCAACATTCCATATATGGCATAGTGGCCACTTTGGTACGATAAACAACTTCAGACTAGGCAGGCTTCCTAGTGTACCAGTAAGTAATGCAACATTCCATATATGGCATAGTGGCCACTTTTGAGCTAAACAACTTCAGACTAGGCAGGCTTCCTAGTGTACCAGTACGTAAGTAATGCAACATTCCATATATGGCATAGTGGCCACTTTTGAGCTATAAACAACTTCAGACTAGGCAGGCTTCCTAGTGTACCAGTACGTAAGTAATGCAACATTCCATATATGGCATAGTGGCCACTTTTGAGCTAAACAACTTCAGACTAGGCAGGCTTCCTAGTGTACCAGTACGTAATGCAACATTCCATATATGGCATAGTGGCCACTTTTGAGCTAAACAACTTCAGACTAGGCAGGCTTCCTAGTGTACCAGTACGTAAGTAATGCAACATTCCATATATGGCATAGTGGCCACTTTTGAGCTAAACAACTTCAGACTAGGCAGGCTTCTTAGTGTACCAGTACGTAATGCAACATTCCATATATGGCATAGTGGCCACTTTTGAACTAAACAACCTCAGACTAGGCAGGCTTCCTAGTGTACCAGTACGTAATGCAACATTCCATATATGGCATAGTGGCCACTTTTGAGCTAAACAACTTCAGACTAGGCAGGCTTCCTAGTGTACCAGTACGTAAGTAATGCAACATTCCATATATGGCATAGTGGCCACTTTTGAGCTAAACAACTTCAGACTAGGCAGGCTTCCTAGTGTACCAGTACGTAAGTAATGCAACATTCCATATATGGCATAGTGGCCACTTTTGAGCTATAAACAACTTCAGACTAGGCAGGCTTCCTAGTGTACCAGTAAGTAATATGCAACATTCCATATATGGCATAGTGGCCACTTTGGTATGATAAACAATTTCAGACTAAGCAGGCTTCCTAGTGTACCAGTAAGTAATGCAACAATCAATATATGACATACAGGGTGTCAAAAAACAATGACACCTCCCTCTACAGCAAAAACTCCTTAATGTTACATATCGTGTATTACCTCATTTGAAAGACAATTTAATTTTGGAGTTACTCATCAAATTTTATTTATTAAAACTTTATATTAAAATCTAAAATTTTATTATATTACTTCAGTACTTTGTTTGCCTCTGTTACTGGTTAAATGTCATTTCTCCAGAAAGTGGAATATGAAAGAATTAGCCCAGATTTCAACTGCACTGAGTTCAGTTCTGAAAAACTGAGTCTAGGAATTGATGGACAAAGAGCCTCTTGAAAATAGAAACACTAAGGATGTAATTCTGAAGAATATGAAGAAAGTGCTTAGAGGATTATGCAACGCTACACCTTTATTTGATTCTTTAATGAAATCATATCCATCCAGAATAGCTGCTGTTGGAGCAGCAACTGGTGGTCATACCAACTACTAAGAATCAGTTGTAATTCTATAAGATTATAGGATATAAAGCTGAAATTTCTCAGGTAACTCCAGAATTCAATTGTCTTCAAAATGAGATATGACACACCATGTAACATTAGTACTTTTTGCTGTAGAGGGGGGGGGGGGGGTGCCACTTCGGTACTATAAACAACCTCAGACTAGGAAGGCTTCCCAGTGTGAGTAAGTAATGCAACATTCCATATACTATAGTATGTCATGGTAGCCACTAAAGTACTAAGGATATCATCAGAGTGAGCAAGCTTTCTAGTGTAACAGAAGGCCTGATACTGTTGCAGGATATATCAAACTAATCAAAGCATAGAAATGTGTTGAAAAAAGATCTTCTTTACAGCTTTATGCATGTTTGCTTTGTTTACAGGTTGAGTGGAATGAGATTAATGCTGCATGGGGGCAGACAGTGCTACTGCTACATTCACTAGCCAACAAGATGAACCTGACATTTCAAAGGTTAGGAACTAATACTTAGCATTACATGGGGGCTCTATTCTGATTTGCCAAATCTCTCTGGCTGTGATATTGTATACTCTGTAGGTATTTCCAAAACACAATTCAATTATTTTTTGGATAAATCATGTGGGGAAGGAAGGGGTAGAGAATGTGGGTAATATATTGGGGTCTGTCAGTTCAAAACTTCTAGGGAAAAGACGAGGGAGTAATGATTGAAAATCCTCTATGTTTGTTTGTTTTTAAACACGCTTATTACTAATTTGAGGTCTGATTTTGAGGGGTGATCATTTATTTCTCATAAAATCTCTCTATTATTTTCAATGTAAAGAACTTTATGATCATCCATCATTTATAAAATATGGTGAGTAATATAAAATATGATGAGTAATATAAAATATGGTGAGTAATATAAAATATGATGAGTAATATAAAATATGATGAGTAATATACATGTATGCCTTATCATTGAAATACAAAATGACTAAAAGGATGACACATGACTCTCTGAACTGACTTAGGATGCGTTGTCAAGAACCAATGACTTAAACAAGTGTGATATCACCTTATTTTAACTTCTAGTCCTATTGGAAAAAATGGATGTGTTAGAATTTAAAGATTCATTTTTGGGGAAAAATAATATTGTGCACGTTTTTATGATTTTGATTTATATTTTAGATATCGCCTGGTGCCATATGGAAACCATTCGTTCCTGGAATCCCTGAGTGACAAGTCTAAGGAGCTCCCTCTATATGGCTCTGGAGGATTTCGCTTTTTCTGGGATTCAAAGTAAGTCGTTTATGGCTTAGTGATATCTGAGATACCTTTTTTCGTCACAATACCCCTTTTTAAATGGAGACTTCATTTGGAGGAAAATGATGAATTATTCAGTCAATGTGAGTTAGTGTGGTTAGGAAGATGAATTCTGAAACATTTGTGTAGTAATATTCTCAAGACTTAATTTGAATCAAAATATGAAATATGATTCATATTTGAAACATCCTTAAGTTTGTAAAGCTATAACACTTGATTATTGCAGATTTGACCAGGCTATGGCTGCATTCTTAGACTGCCTCCAGCAATTCAAGGAGGAGGTGGAAAAAGGAGACACTGGATTCTGTTTGCCTTACAAGATGCATAATGGAAAAGTTGAGGATTCTAGTACAGGTGTCTCATATTCAATTAAGTATGTTCAACTTTGTACTTTTTGCTCAACCTGATGTCTTTCATGTTCTTTTCACACATATTACATAGGCCTACTGAAAAACCACTTAAATTACCCTGCCAATATGAGCCTTGCATCTCTCAAAAATGTTTTGCTACATTATGCAAGTGTATTGATATGGCTCTGATTGATTAAAACATCAAACTGTAAAGGATCTGTCCTACTCAAACTGGAGTGTTCAACCTATTGAGCTCTAGGGTAAAGTTGATGAGTTTTGTTTTATGTTCCAGGATCCAGTTCAACTCTGAGGAACAATGGACCAAGGCATTAAAGTTCATGCTAACTAACCTGAAGTGGGGCCTGGCATGGGTGTCTTCTCAATTCACAAATAAATAAACACCAGTCCCAGACAAGAGTAAAGATTCCATTATGGTTGAATTTAGCTAAAGGCAATTATATTTGCTTGCCCATGGTATTTTTCATCAAGTCTCTGGACCAACCCATTTCTTGTACCTTGTGAAGATAAGGTGTGTAGGAGTACAGAGGTGTCACAAGGCCTTCAAGCTAGACTAGTCCATAAGTCAACCCAACATAACACTTCAGATATCCATGATGTTGTCTACTCCATTAAACAGTGCAGCAGTTATTTAATTTCTACATAATCCATTTTATTTCTCCTACACCACTGTCAAAAAATATAGTTCCCAAAAAACGATTTTCTCCATTTTAATCCAAGATGAATATCATGGGAGCGTTTTCCAAATTTTGAAAATAGGACAATATGATTTCGCATTTGGATCAACAGCTCACAACATGTAACTTCATACTTTTATTATACACAAACTGTCAATGGTCTGTAACTCGTTTAATCTTTAATGGAAGCTCTACAACACAAACAACTCCCAAGCATTATATAATATATATAGTGGGATGCATGACGGACAATTAATATTGGTTCGTTATAATTAAAATGTCACTACACTGTTAGTAAATGATTGAATGATTTAATTTGGCTGTTTATTTTGTTCAGTCAAAATTCAGGTTCTACATGCTTGTAGCTATGTGCAATAAAAGATAAGCAACTTTGTAATTTGAAATTAAGTTAAGTGAGCCTTCTTTACATATTCATATGCATGAGAAATTGTATAAACTAAAGCTTTAAATAGATAAATTATGTAAATATTTTATGAATCTTATTTATTCTTACTTTATATACTGAGTCAGTTTGAAAATATTTTTGAGAAAGCATGAACAGCATTCACCTTGTTGGAACAAAATAGCATATACAACATTTTCCTATATAGACTATATATATACTTCAAATTAAATTGTTACCATTCAAAAGGTGATCATTAAATTGACGATGTGTAAAATTTTCAGAATTTTTTATGACTGGAAATATAAATTTAGTTCACAATTTTGATCCTTTTGTCATCTAAGAATTTAATTATCAACCCTTTCATCAGGTAACCATTCAATTTAGATAATTTGTTAATTTAGATAATTTGTTTATAATATTGTTGAAATTTGATCAGCTGACTACAGTGAGGAAAGTTTGTTTTATTACCATCACCCATTTTTCCATGTTTGACTCTGCATTGATCATGTTGGAGGTCATTTAGAACGGGCTTTCAATAGAATGCCCATGATGTGATCTAAAATGTAAAATTTGGAACACACCATGTGTATTCATACCAAATAGTCTGAAATTTTTTTGAAATTTGGAATGAAAATATTCAGACTATAGCCCACATATGTTAAAATTTGGGATTGAAAATTATTTGTTTACATAGGAAGTGCCATTCAAAATGGCCGATTGGGTAAATCAATTTGCATATTTGTTACTTACCCTAGCTTTATTTCCATTTGACAATACATGCAATATGCTCTGTTACTTTTTATAGCATTTAATTGTACCTTACTACTTAATTGAATTGTTATAATGCTTATTGATAATTGTGTGCAGGAAATTTCCTGTTATTTCCCATAGGAGGGGCATAATGATCAACAGACTGAATTCTCAGGAAATTCAGTCTATTGGATATAGACACTGGTCACACTAGGTCTACATACATCACCTGCCATAGTCCACTGCATAGGCTGAGGTTGATAGAAATAATTTCTAAGTAAAGATGGCATGGTAATCGACCTCTATTTAGAGAAAAAGGTAATACTGGATTTTGTTGATGCTGCCATCTTTATATCGGCCCAGAACCTATGATGTAGCCTTGCATAATCTGAAAAATTAATTTACGGCTGCCATTCACTAGCATTAATGAAAAAATGGTCTCTGCATATCCCAAACTATTACCTATACTATTTTCCACTCAAAATTCATTGTTTTTCTTTAGGTCAGGGTGCACTTCAGGGGTGGATCTGGGAACCAACAAGGGGGGGGGGGCAAATTTCAGATAAGAGAAAAACACGTCCACGCTTGCGCAGACTAACATAAAATGATGGTCTCAGACATAACTCATTCCACATATCATCTACATCTTTCATTCTTGCACAAAAGATGCATTCATGTGCCTATACTATTAATTGAGGGTTGATAATTCTTCAGAATGTTTGAATAACTATAGTATATTCAGTGGTTTACTTTTCAAAATTGCAAAAAATTCCAAAGTGCATCCCAGGCCCGACCTTAATTTACACAGAGACAGTTACAAACAATACGTTTTGAGAAAAATAACACCTTTATATTTGCCTGGTCTCAACCATGTTGCCAATCCAAAATCAATAAGCCATGGTTAAACTTCACATTGAGGATACTGTCATCTGTTAATTTTTGAAAATGTGTATAGACACTCAAGTTTTTCAGCTTCGATTGGTCATTGTTGCGTTATTAGATGAAAATTAGATTATTATATTATATTAGATGAAATGATTTTCTCATCGAACGCATTCTTAATATCACATATATAATCAATGCAAAAATGCAAGAAATAAGGGCAAATGGAATCTGAATGATGATTTCTTTAAGAAATGTCCAAGGGGTAGTTGCGAACGTTTGAAAAACAAATGTACACGTTCGGAATTTACATGCATCAAACAAATTGTGAAAATATTAAATACTCTTTGAAACGTTTTATCTTGGCAGATTGTGCTGTAAAAACATAATAAGAGACATTGCATGAATGTAATTTTTTAGAAGCATCATTCAAGTGACAATTTACGACGCAAGTTTCCCAGAGGTAAGAATAATTCTACTGAAAAAGTCCGATATTCATGAATCTCATTTTGTAATAAAAAACAATCATTGATTCTTGAATCAAACTCAAAAAGAGGAGGGAAAGTCCCAGAGTTTAAAGATGTAGACATGATTACGTCTCTTGCTTACCACCTTGGTTCGTCAGAATTTTCATCGGCTAGTTATCAAATACTACACCTCGATGGGGTGTTTCAATTATAGGCACTGTATTCAGTACACCTAGGCCTATCTTGATGTGAAATGAGAAGCTATTATACTCTATTGGTTAACACGCCAGAAATGAACATAATATTATTCGAAGCTTATTTCGAAAATTTTGAAACCGTCATTGATGACGTCATTTGTTTGTCGACTTTTGACCAATCAGAGATGTATGTCATCTCAATACAGGTTTACATTATAAATGTATATCATCTTTGAACTCTGGTGTTATTCCCCCTCTGAAATTCAAAAACCACATTGCAACACAGTAGATCTATATGAAAAATAGAGAAACATATGTGTATATTTTAGTTTGTTTTGTAGTTTGCCTATCATATATGTGGCCTCTTATATTTACCCCCTTTAATATAAAATGTGGGGTAGATTTTTATGGGGCTTCTTTATTTTGATTCTTCACTGCCATGTGTCAAATGAGTGATATAATGTCAATGTGTGGGGTACTGTCGACATGAGAAAAATGGTAACTTCGTCACTTGTTAAAAATATCCGTTTTCTGCTACGTTGGATATCGGAAAAAATCAAAATCTGTGGATCAGAAATATTAGAGCAAACGTTTGGAAGTTACCCCATACATTAAAGTTACCCCAAATTGAAGTGTTGCTGCATATTATGCATAGCTATCTGAAATATACAAAAGTTTTGAGATTTATTTTATTATTTGGTAATATGTACATCAAAACTACTGGAACTTATGAGGAAGCAAGAAGTGAAGCAAGTCTGTTACAGTTATTTAATATGTCTTCTAAAATATCAATTATATCCACTTATGGATATCAATATCTTCACTCATTCGCTGCGCTCATTCATAAAGATATCAATATCCACTTATGGATATAAATGATATTTTTCAAAACCATGGGATATTCCTATAATATACTTTGTTGTATCAACCATTGAGCATAAGCACAATATCCAAAAGATATCAAATGAAATGTAGAACTGACTTGCTTTATGAATTCTGGAAGAACATGGACACTTATTTCTTCTTCATCCATGTCATCATACAGTTCACGCAAAATTTATCATAGCAGAAACTCAAAGTGATTACTATATGTTGTATATATAAATCCACACATTTCTGAATAACTTCAAAGGTTTATAAATCTGTTAACTTTATTATACAGTTTTGGAAAGATGGATTCAGATGTCCTCATTTGTTTATATGTGAAAAATTATCTGCTATTATACCAGTATTCTGACAGTTTATTAGGTTTTGCAAGCATCTGAATCAAAGTTGCGCATTCTGGGATTGACTCAACCATCTTAATGTCTTTGAACGAAAGTTCTTGCCTCCATTTGTGAGGAATATCACTCGAGTTTCTTGATGTGCCATACGTTTTTTTTCGACGAAACAGATGTGATTCAGATGTGTTTGTATGTGTTAATATCCATTTTCTCACATTTTCATGAAATGGCAGTTGCAAATGTTTGTACAGTTTTACTACTTGTTTCATTGGGTCTAGCGCAACATCTTCATAAATTACAAGACCTAACGAGGGAAGATCTGGCATAATATATGGTAATTTATCTTCTATTATTTTAGAGAGAAACTTTAGATCTTCAACATTTATTGCACAAAGTTCTTTCATGTCCTCTTCCTTTTCATACAATGGCAGATCCTTATATTCCTTTTTCTCCTGTAGTCTTGAATTGAAAACTCCACGTGGATCTCGTATGAGTAAGATAACTGTGCAGTTTCTTCCAAGATTATTAGCCAAACCCTCTAGAGACTTAATACGAACAGTTTTGGTTACAACATTCTTCCTTTTGGTACATTTTTCTTTAATGTCCTTGTTGGATGAACAATCTGGAAATATTCGTTTAATTGTCCATAATTTTTCTTGTTTTAGGAACCGCATTAGCAGATTTATATATGATTTATCAAAGTTACATTCCATAGTTTTTCTCAGATATTTAACTCCAAGGCCCTGTATAATGTCCTTTGACACATTTTTTGAGTGGAGTATATCCAATGGTTTTAATGGTTCAAACACATAAAATACATCAGGATTTTGCTTAAATAATTCTCCAATAAAGCTTGATCCACTTCGTCTTCCAGTAGTTATGACAATGTGATTCTCTTCTGGAAAGTTTGTGTCATAAAATTCATTGTTGAATTTATGTGTCCGATTCCCATCTTTAAAATGAAGCTTCTGATGATTTTCTTTCTCCTTTGGAAAGTTTGTGTCAAAGACTTCGTTGTTGAATTTATGTGTCAGATTCCCATCTTGAAAATGTAGCTTCTGATGATTTTCTTTCTTGTTGAATTTGTGTGTAAGATTACTTTGTGGTACAAATATGTTTTTAGGTGTTTTATAATTCCATTTATTGTAAGTCACTGAAGTAAAATCGTTAGTAAAAAATATGTACCAAATTGTCAATGTAAGTGATAAGAAAATTATCACTTTGGTTGAATGCTTGAACCACATCATAGTTGAATAAACCAAAGTATTTTGAAGTAGATTGTACTTTCCTATTTAGATCCTCAAAGTATATACCCTTTTCAATTGTCTGATTTTACCCTCTTAAATAGAGATTTATGTACTGTAATTAATCAGATGGTTGTATCTGGTCCTCAGGGTAAGTTCCAAATGTCATTATTTTCATCTCATAATTCATACTATTACACCTAATATATCCATATTATATTAATAATTACAATGATATTAGAATTATATTTATCCAATATTAATTCCTGTGCTCCCTGTTAGAATTTGTAAACTTTGTTTTCTCCAAAAATTGTAAATTTGAGTTTCAAAATGTCCACACTCCACACCTTGTTGAATTCTATACACCCATCGATATAGTCAATTGTGGAACTACATGTATATATGGCTATTGCTAGGCTTGATTTCCATATAACAATCTATTTCGTGTTCAAGAGAGTTCAGTTACTTAGTTTGTATGCCTCATAAAATAAAAAATCACAAAATGATTATAAAAAGTTCACTAAGTTCACAATGATTTTACTTCAATGGACTATTGGAGAAAGTAAATAAATATGAATAGCTTTTGAAACAGTTTGCTTGAGTGGGAGCAGGAGCATATATGAAAAAATACATAAATTATTCTCATTATTTATTTCAGTGTATCAATTGATTTGCATATAGTATGTTTGTTTGTTTATTTTACATTGAAATACAGTATTGATGAGGGAATAAAAACTAAAATATGATAAACAAATGTTTGTGATGTTGTCATATGGTAAAAAATAACATGATACAGGGTGATCACTAAGTTCTGGGAATTTATCTGTCATTTCATTATTTTTCAACCAATCTACTTGAAATTTTCAAGGTAAATGGAGAATATAATTTTGGGTTGGATAAAACAATCTCATTGTCATATGATGTCACAATGTATAATTATTGTTGCTATAGCAACACGACAAATGGCGTAGCGGGTCAAGCAAAACTTGAATTCATTTTTATTTTACTTGATCCAAAAGTATGGTTAATTAATACCTATTTGGTGGACAAATTTCTGTGATTTTTTATTTTTTCAAATATTTCTGACTTTAGTTTCTAAAGTAACATCTGTGTTGTGATATAAGAGTGTACTTTGCTCAATTTTCTTAAATCATTGGTCAGACTCTCAAAGTCACAATCATTACTCAAAAAAGCGGGGAGTTATCTTCCATTATGGCAATGCTTCTTCACACTCCTCAAATTGCCCATATTACTCTTGAAGAATTAGGGTTCACACAAGTTGTTCATGCCCCATATTCACCATATAATGTTCACCAGATGAACCACCATTAGGTTCACTTTTGACTGTTGAAGTATCATATGAGAGATCACCATAAGTTTGGTTCCGATGAGGGACTGATCTCAACAGCTTGAGCAAATTTTCAAGGGATACCAAAGGGAGGACTGGAAAGCGACTTTATGGACTAGGTTTGACAACAATGCATGGTCGTCCAGGCCTATGGAAATCATTATAAATGAAATGATCCTCCCAGCAATGAAGAATACTTCTGAATAAATGACTTCAAGAGTACTGTTCTGCCTCTAGTACAATAAGTTTGAACCAACCATCTAGGCAAGATAAATATGTTTTAGCAGGATATTTTCAAATTAACACCAGTCAAAATTTGCTGACCCGCCGACCACTTTTACTTTTTTTATAATTACAATAAAATAAATTGTAAAAGTGATATGTATATGAAACATTGTCTGTCAGTTCAGAATTATACAATGTACATTTGCTGGAAGTTTCAACTGAATTGGTTGAAAAATATTTAAATGACAGACCAATTCCCAGAACTTAGTGATCACCCTGTATTTTGAGTGAAAAACTTTTGTTTGCTTCAATACAAGGTGGATTATGATGATTCTGCTTGCTTCTCTTGTTTAGTTGAGTGGAGTGTTTCAGGAGGTTACTCTTGCCAAATAAGTCTTGCTTTGTTCCATTTAGTGTTGTGTTCCTCTATTTGGTTATGTTTTCACCAATATGCTTGTTGATTTCTTCCTGTATCTATTCTTTAAATAATTTTTAAATACTTCGATATTCGGTTTTTTTTTGTAGCATTTTGTTGATATGGATATGATGCTTTAGTAAAGTAAGCAACATATTTGCATTTATATTGATTGTACAGGGTGTCCAAAAAACAGGACCACAAGAAAGTTGAATAATTCGGTCAATTTTGCATATTTTGCCTTGATATTTTAGAATTATTTTGTTTATTCAATGTGAATTTTGTTCTGGAAGTTTGAACTACGAAAACTACAAAACTATAAAAACTACAGTACCTTACAAAACATGCTCAAAGTGGGCACTTCTCTCTATGCACAAAATTTTTATGACCCTGACCTATACACATCAATGTGGATGGTAAATATTGGGGTAGTTATTGCCTTCTTAAGATTGTTAGGGGCTTTTCAGTACACATTGGCTTTGAGAAGTCCCAAAATATTAAATCTGAGGGGATTAGAATGAGCTGCCCATATGCATTCTGCAACTGATGAGCTGACCACCAAAGCATTGATTAAACCATTTCAGCCTATCATTTGCAGTGTTGAGGTGGCTTGTTCAAACCACTGCCTATCTCCTTAGATGCCCCTTCTGGTGCTTAGTGACCTCCAAAACATTGTGAGAACTTGAATATACTGGTCCTTGTTTGTGGTGATAGCACATCCCTGGTCATCTTCGAACCAAAAAGGACTGATGATTCCATTTTCGCTAATTACCACTCAGGCAGTGCATTGTTCAGAATGCAATGGATGCAGAACACTTCATCAGGAGGATGTAAGCCCCAGTAGCAATCGTTCTTGAAATAAACTTGTCCATTCAAAAGGGAATGTGTGTAGGAGAATTATCAACAACTTTGTTCGCCTGATTGAAACGTGCATAGAGAGGGGAGGTGCACATTTGGGGCATGTTTTGTAAGGAATTGTAGTTTTTAACACAATAGGCAGATAATCATTTAAAGGGGCAACAAGGCCTGTAGAGAGAAAATTCGAAAATTTTTACTGAGCTATCAGGTTAATTTGGCTTAACATCTTCTTTGACATACCTATTTTCTTAAAAAGTATGGATAATCTATCAATTTCAGCATTAAGAAGTGTAAAGTTCACAGCTTCTATAGAGGGAGTCCCACTTATAGATTTTTTCTTACGGTCCTGTTTTTGGACACCCCAAATCTCCAATAAAATACATGGTTCAGTTAGTTTTTTTTTATTTTCCCTCTTTCACACCCAGTATTCAAACAAAGGATAGGTATCGATATGGAGAACTGAATTCAACAATGTTTTTCTCTTAAACCAATCATTGAAAACATTCTGTAAAAAAACATGGTATTTTATGTAATGTTGACTGATTGACAACAATTTAATGTGAAAATTATTTAGAAATATTTTATATAACTGTTTTTGTTAACATATTTTGTTTTTTTAGTGCAATTGTTTTTGCTCCTTTCTACCAATTCTTGAAAATGAAATAAAATGTCTTACCGAACCTTGTCGGAACAAAATAGCATATACAACATGTTTTTAGACCTCTCAATATTGAAGTTATACAAAGGAATTTTTGGTTGATTTTAAAAAAGTATTCAAAAAATTAAAACAAAATCCCCCCAAAATAGATAAAAATGAAGAAAACCCTTTTATTTCATTAACAAGATACTTTTTTAAAATCAACCCAAATTTCCTTTGTACAATTACAATATTGAGAGACCTAAACATGTTGTGTTTATGTCGTTTTGTTCCAATGAGGTTCGGAAAGAAGTTTCATTTCACTCTGGAAACATGATACCAAGAACAAAACAAGTGTTTGATGTCTTTTTTAAAACAATATAGATGAAAGTATGTATATCTATTTCAAATTGTATTGTTACCATTCAAAGGATGGCCATTAAATTGACAATATGTAAGATTTTCAGAAATTTTTGATGACTGGTTAAAAGAGAAACGTGTGTTCAAAAAGTTCGCCATATCGATACCCGTTCTTTAAAGAATTCCAAACCTCCCAATCTGAACACTTTTTTTCGGTCCCATTTTTTCTTCCCATTGACTCCCATGTTATCAAAACCTTGAATTGTGAACACCTCCCGATTTGAACAGTGAATAGTCATATCTGAAAAGAAAAAAATTGACCTGTCTAATCTGAACACTTTCATGATATCAAAACTTTGGGAAAAATCTTGGATGGTATTATTCATAATGGGGCTTTCCAGCATGACTAGATTCATTTGAATCGAATTTTCAAATCTCTGGAAAGCCATAAAGCTATGTGGTCAAAAAAATTATGAATATTTACCGAGAATATGTTCACATTTCTTCAGAATATGGAATATTGCGAATGCAAAAACCCTGAAATATGAACCCCTCCTAATCTGAACACTTTTAGCCCAATGGCATTTGTATTAGACAGGTTTTACTGTACTAGTATAGCCCATGATGGAAGGGACTGTTGTCTATGCTATGGATACTTATTGTACCTGTATCCGTACAGAGTTTTTGTTAGTTGATTAACTTTTAATTGATCTCATGTTTCAAAGCTCTAGAAACTGCTATTCTCGCTCCTATTCCATATAATGATAATGGGCATGTTCTAATCAGTGGACTGGCTCCAATTTAGTGGACTCTGTGGCCTTATCCATTGTTTAGTCATTGTGTGGTTAAAATGACTAAAAGGTGGACTGATAAAAAGGCCACTGTTTAGGTATTTTGATAGAAGAATGACTAAAAAGTGGCTTCAAACTGGAGTATAAAGGGTTAAGTAAAAGGATGGAACTGAGTGATCCAACCCACCCAAGATGCATGCCTAATAGAATCATAAAACCTTATCAAGTGATACAATCTGTACCTGACACCATCAACTATTGTATCTTAGTATCCCTTTAAAATTTTATATGATTTTGTCAAAATAACAATTATCACAAACAATAAAGTTCTGATTTCATAACTTTACATGACCCAAAACAGTCT